GACTTGAAAAGTTCTTATGAAAACTCTAGCTGAATGCATGTTCAACAATCAGTTTTGGTGATAATCACTTCTTTTTTCATATATATATATATAGATAGATATATATATATATAAATAGATATTTATTTCAGTTTACAAAAATGAAAAATAAACATATGCCCAACTTGTTATAATGATTAGCTATATAACAGTCTGCATGATGCACAGTCATTGGTTGCTGTCACATTCGGTTTTAAATAAAATGATGAATACTACAGAAAGAGAGAGCTGTTGTTATGCTGCTCTTCTTAAGAGATCCCTCGCTGCAAGAAATAAGCGTGCAATGTGCTTTGCAGCCAATTTGTGATGTAACACTAGGAGACACAATTGATCTTGATGGCGGGTATATTATGCACTTCTCATTGTTAAAAAGACTAAAACTTAGTCATGACTTATTCTCTTGAAGATACTTTTAAATTTGAAAAACCTAAAAAAAGCCCTACAATTTGAAAATCCTAAAAAATCCCCTACAATGTATCTTCAGTGCTCTTGCTTTCAGTGCTTCCTAATGATCACAACAGAGACATATCTGGAAGAAATTGGGTAAAACCGACACGATCTTGCTACTGTTGGCCTAACATGTCACTGAGAAACCTCTGATCTCTAAAGTACTTCCTACATCAATCACTGTGCAACAGCTGGACAACTAATCTGCCATGGGCGGCATGCAACATTGGTATGCAGAATATTTTAGAATAATCTTGATACATGAAATGAAAAGGCGATAAGAAACATTCCCCCCTCCCGTCCGTCTCTGACATGGTATACTGAAGTATAGAAAAATCTGACAGAACTTGAATCTCTGTTAACAATATATAAACAAAGAAAAGACAATATGAAACACAATTTTCCGTTATACATGCTAGTTACTACAAATACCATTATTTGTAGTAACTAGCATGTATAACGGAAAATTGTGTCCGGAATACCTACAACAAAACAAAAAGGAAATCAACTGACAAACACTCATAATTTAACACATTAAATGCTTGTATAACAATAAGCTTTCCGAGTTTTGAATCTAAAATTGTTTTCACTTCTTCTTTAACTTTTGATTGTACTTGTCATAATTTGTACCTACTAATTAATTGTCACGGAATGTAATGCAATCCAGTACATCACAAGATCAAACTTAAACTTCATCGCTATGCCATTCCATCATTTGAAAATGCTAAAAAATTGTATTTATATTCTTTTCTAGCACATACTTCGTACACCTTCCAATGAAGTTCTTACCGTGGAACACAAGTTCACCAACGTCATTTACCATAGAAATCTTCTGCTTCACATTGTTTCTAAAAAAGATGAACACTGTCAGCAAATGACATGCATTATGGTACAACTTAATAACTTCCCATTTTTGACCGATGTTTTTCAATGAAAATTTCCTTTTAATCTTGCTGTTACTTGAAAACACAAACTTCTATTGTCTAATACCAAAAATATTTTTCACATTCAGAAAATCTTAGCATACACTCTATGGAAGTTTGACCCTGTCAGTCATTCACATATATAACATGAATTAATTACAACTTGGTCAATCTCATTTAACCCTTCTATAGGCAGTTCACAGTCATGCTTTATCTTTTAGTTCTAATAGACTCCTTCTTTTGCTCTTACGAAGAACTACAACACTTGAAACAGCTTTAGAAATTCTTTACAGTGACCAATTTACCTTATCAACTCAGTTAATGAAACCAGATAATCTCTTTCAAACAGTCTGCTTTTTTTATGACTGCATTTTTTTAATGTCAATGGCTTTTATTTTAGTTTCATGAACTCACACAAATTAAGTGCATTAAAATCACTTTTATTAAATCCACTTGGTTTTAATTTTACAAGAATATAAAAAATCAAGCACTATCATATTTTTCAGTTATAAAATAAACTATTTGTTTCTTATACTCACGGGATGAATGGTTTGGCAAGCTTGAAGGCAGCTCTAAGTGAGAACTTTGCCTTTAAAATGATGCGAAAGTTCAACCCTTCAAAGAACCTGCAGAAAAAAAAACAATAAAAGAAACATTACAGTTTTATTTATATCATTACTAAAATATGTCACATAAAACAATATTCTGTACTCTATAAGCGAAATAATTGTAATACATCCACTGATGTGCAAAGTTATCAGCATCATAAGATGCTTTTTACCAGTACCAGTATAATTCACCAAATTTATCATCTGACTTCTGACTTTGTTGATTTGGTTGCTAATATTTGAAGTAGGTATATGTTTCCATCAGTACAAACTTCTCTTACCTGGTCTTTAATAGTTTGTAAAATTTCTTCGCCAATTGAATCAAACAGAGCTTTGCACCATCATCCTCTCCATGAATAATGACCGTGAATTTGTCAGTGACCAGATTTTTGCAGACAAACTCTTCTACATTTCTGAATTCAAAGATCAAACAAAGATGATAAACCCACATTATAGTTATAATGAACAAAGCTTTGCACCATCATCCTCTCCATGGATAATAACTGTGAATTTGTCCGTGACAAGATTTTTGTTGATGTATTCTTCTACATCTCTGAATTCAGAGATCAAACAAAGATGATTAACCCACATTATAGTTATAATGATTGGTAATACAAGATGTAAAATCTTGCATTGCAGGAAACAAATTGACCTCAATTTCACTGCATCTTGCACGATAGGGAATGATTGAATTGTATATAACCATCATGTGAGTACCTACATCGCACTTTCAACTGGATCCCAAATATCCAAAGCAGAGTGTGCATCTAATTACCACCTTAAAAAAGTTTTTTCTTTTGGATAACATAGTAATAAACATAGTTTAGTCATTAACATAGAATTAAAGAAATACTCTCACTTACGAGCAGAGATTTTCAGCAAGCGTCTTTGATTCTGACCTTCGGAACAGCCCCTTACCAAAAAAGATAGCCTTGAAGTATACTTTAAGTATACTACAAGTATACTGCGTCAATAGTGGTTATACTGCAATCATACTTCAATAATACTTCAATAGTACTGCACTTACTTAAGTACATCTGCAGTACCATTTTTGAAGTACACTTTAAGTATACTGCTCAAGTGAAAATTATTTTCCTTGTTGTTGATGTAGGGTACAAGTATACTTTAAGTATACTGCTTGAGTGAAAATCATTTTCTTTGTTGTTGATGTAGGGTACAAGTACACTTTAAGTATACTGCTCAAGTGAAAATCATTTTCCTTGTTGTTGATGTAGGGTACAAGTACAAGTACACTTTAAGTATACTGCTCAAGTGAAAATCATTTTCTTTGTTGTTGATGTAGGGTACAAGTACACTTTAAGTATACTGCTCAAGTGAAAATCATTTTCTTTGTTGTTGATGTAGGGTACAAGTATACTTTAAATGTCTGACACAAATGTAAATCAAGTTCAGGTTTGATTAAGTGGGAAATAACTCTACTGAAAAGGTACTGATGCTTCAGTTGATAAAGATCATAATTACTTTAATGTCTCACACAAATGAGAGTAGTAGGAAATAACTATACTAAAAAGGTACTAATTAGGCTTCAGCCAATAAGATCATATACATTTACACAATCAGATTGGCTGATTTACAGGTACACTGTACTACAAACCATAAAAAGCCTGCACAGCAAAGTTATCTTCTCAGAAGAATTATCTTACACTGTATATTAGCTTTCAACTTTGAAAATACCATCCACACACACAGGTCTGCATGGCTCATTAACATACATATTCTTTGAAGTCATTGTAACTGCAAAGCTTGAAACTAACAGAAGCCAACAAGCCACAGACTAGTAAAAATTCAGTTTTGGCTAATGGTTTTCAATTATTTTCCACTAGACACTGGCTAGTAAACAAACTAAATTTGACCAAACTAGTTTCTGTCTTTCTTCAAAGAAGACAAACACAAACACAAACACTTTTCTCGCAATGTCTTTGTGGATCTATCATGTCACTAGGCACGTGATGTTCATCACCATTGCAAATTTACATCTGTATAAAAAAAAGTCTGTTTACTTTTCACTGTGTGGCCCCTAAACAGGTAACTGAACATGTTATTATGTTGAAAGAAATATTTGACAGACAAGACAGCATTTTCTGAAAGCACACATCAATTTTCTTGTGAAATATGTAGAACAAAACATGAACTTCCTAATAAAATCATACACAAATTCGTGCAGCACTGTAAAGGGATAACATCTCATTAACTGTGAAAACACATGTCATCGTATGCTTACTGACAAAGTTTACAACTACAGAAATAATTAGATAAGAAGGATTGATCTCCCTTGACATTTAAATCAGGCATTTGTTGCCATCAAATTTCACCAACAATGGTTTCCAGGATTTGTTGTTTTGCTTTTGAAACATTTCTATGGTGCCTGTCTGTGAAGAAGTCTCAACAGTTTTTACAATGTCACCAGGTCTCAATATTTTTCCAAGAACATCTCAAAGAAAAACAGAGTCCTGAAAGTCTTTGTGAGAAAATTGCTAGATTTTTCTTTGTGATTTGTTGACCTAGAGATTTGATGTGAGGAAAACATGAGGCCCATTCAACAAAATTAGAACTGACACAATTCATTGATGCTTAGCTAGTAAAAAATTTTTTGGCTAGTTAAGTCTAAGTTATCACTAACCACTAGGCTAGTAAGTTCAAAAGTTAGTGTCGAGCCCTGTAACTACTGCCTAGTCCTTTTCAAACCTATTTGGAAGCTTACACACAAAACCAGCATTTGTAGAATCACTGATGTTGACAGAAACACACATTGAAATAATATCCATGACAGGAACTGCAACAAATACTCCTTTTGCTTTCTTAACAGGAACAATGTGATTAACCATAGCATTTGTGAACTTATCCTTTGAAAGCCTAATTTTTGGGTTAGGCTCCAGCAGCTTCAAGATGGCAAGATAATGAATTCTATCAGAATGTTCACAAAGCTGAAAACACTTTAAAAAGAACTGCAACTCTCCAAAATTTAAAGTACCATTCTTGGTAAATTGAACTGTATAGCTATTTCTCTTTGTAGTTGCATGATACTGACTACACTGAAACATTGTTCCATGTTTCCAGAGCCGCTTGAATTTATGTGAAGTTTAACAACTACACTGGTTTGTTGATCTAAATCAAGCCTTTGAAGGCTACCTATCGCATACACCTTCTCTGCAATTTCCTCTCTACAAGTGGGCAGTGGACGGCCTTCCACAAGATGTTTGTAGAAGCTCTTTGCTGCTGATCCTGCAGGAAGCAGAGGGGTTAGCTCGGGTATCTTCTGATGAATGCAAACTGCATGGGTAATTTGAATGTCAACATTCTGTGTACCATGAAACAGTTTTGTCAAATCCCCATTATAGCCCTCAAACCAGAAGCATGATGTGCCCCATAGTGGACCAAGATGCCTCACACAATCTGGGAGATGAAGCAGCATGTGCACATTGTATGTCTCATACCTTCTACCATACAGGGCCTCCATCCTTGTGCAGAAGTGTAACAGCATTGATGAGCTACTCTCTACATCATTTGGTGAAATGGAGTCTTGTAGGAGTAAATAGATTGCATCTACCAGAAGCACGAGGTGCTGAAAATAAACTTCCTCTAGAAGTCCCCAGAGACAGGGAAGGGCATAGTACAAAAGAAAAGAACGCAGTTCTGATGCTTTAAAATGTGCAAGATTCTTTAACAGACTTCTGGGTGTACGTGTTATGACATTTGGGGGCTTAATAACTAAGTATCTTTGTTCCAATTTCTTGACATTTTCTGACCCAAGATACCATGGATTACTGGAATATGACTTTTCTGTCCACAAAGTTAACAACATTTTAGTGATGCCCAGCAAAACACAATGCATGTAGTCAATTGTTACACCATTGATGATATCAAAACCTGGTAAAACCATACTCCAAGTCATCCCTTTCACTCCTTTAACTACTGAATCTTTACCACTGCCTTTCAGGTTATCAGCTTCTTTGGCAAATAACAGTGTCTGTTCATGTGTCCGTTTCTCAATTGTCCTGGCAGTTAAATTTGTTTGTTTTCCTCCCCTGCATTTTGATTTCCTCTTATATGAAAGGGGTATGCCCTGGTGTGCCCTCTTTCACTGGTTTTCACAGTTTCACCAGGATGAAGACAATATGGACATCCATATGTCCCATTGAATTGCAACATATTTTGAAATAAACACTTTGCAGGAGCGTCAAAACTTCCACACAAAAGAATACAACGTATAATCCTCAAAGATCCATCAGAGAAAGTTAACTGTTCACCTGGAATAAAAACAACTTAATGAGTGAGTGTGATAAAATCATGCTTATAAAATTCTCATAACCACAGATGTCTATTATTCTAAACACTTCAATGGTAACTCATACATGACCATTGAGTTTATAATAGAAATACTTTGGAAAGAATAAGAGGGAATTTAACTTTGGAATCTCAATGGGAAAAGAAAAAATAATGCAAAAGTTAAGTACCTTCTTTAAAGAGACCATGAAGAGAATTTACAAATGGCTGCAAAAAAGTGCGGAAATCTGGCTTCTTACGTCCAAACCACAGACCAGCAAAGAGACGATACTTGGTGCTAAACCTAAAAGTATGAGCAGGAGAACAGCTATTGTGATTTGCTGTCAACATGTTACATTTTCAAATTGTGTAATTAGTTCAGTCAAAGCAATACCTGAAAGTTTGATATGAAATAAAAAATGAAAGAGAAACTCAAACCCATTCAAACCAAAGCTGAAACATGTTTTAAAGCTCTTCCTCTAGTCACTGTCTTAAATTTGTTTTCTTCATAGAAGCTGCCAAATCAATTTTTTTCAACATCAAATTTGCACAAAACAAGTTAGTGACTACCTGTTTCTTATTTTCATTCAGTTAAACCTGGTGTAATTAAATGTTTTTCTGGTGTACAGTAGTCTAGATTCCTCAAGAATTAATTGCCTGGGTAGTGACCATTTCAAACTACCTCAAGATTTCAAACAGCATCCTGTTGACTTCCTATAGGATATTATGCATGACATTTATTAAAAGCAGTCATACCTTCAGGCTTCCTCGTGTAATGAACTGTCCAATTAAAAGAATTAACCCTTTAACTCCCAAGTCAAATTTGTAATTCTCCTAACTGTCAACCATACAATTCTTGTAATGTTAGTTCAGAGAAGTTAGTATTAGATCGACTTATTATCCCAAATTGATATTTTTTCTTTATTCTTATCACTTATCTGGTTGACATTGGATGGATATTGTAAGGAGAAATTCTGTCTTGGTCACTCATGAGAGTTAAAGGGTTAAAAAAAAAAAAAAAAAAAAAAAAATACCTCTTCTCTGGAGGCAACTCATTTATGACGAAGTACACAGGCCACCATCTGTGTTCACCATCAGGGATAGGTGGATTTCCTTTCCTCTTGCAGCAGTTGATGTCCCATGGAAATAACCTTTAGGATCAAAGTGGTTCCTGTACAGTTCACCATCAAATATATCCTCAATGTTGTGTTTGCACCTCTTCTTCCTGGACGTACGATGATGTAGTATTTCATGCGCTGAATCCCCCATACCTTTCAATAAAATTGACACTACTGAATAAGAAATGTTAAATCAAAACAGTATGTTGCTGCTGAAGTTAGTTCATTGGCAAAGTTTTGTATGGGGAGACTTTGCCCAAGAGTCCTCACACCTTCCATTATTTATACAAAAATTCAAAATCTATATATATCTTAAATACACTGTGACAAAAACTATAACCCTTTCTTATACCAAAAAGATGACAAGACGAAAATCAAAATTTGCCATAAGTTTCAATTTCAATATACTTTTATAAAGCCTTTCATTTTGCAAGGAAGGAGACTGAAGTTAACTTACCTCGAATTATTGCTTGTAGTTGGTTAATGAAAGGTATGACAATGAAATAGCCTAATTTAGATCCTTTCTTTTCGAAGTCCCACAAGCAGGCGACATTTGAACAGCAACTTGGTTTTTGTGTTCCAAAGTATTCTTGGCAAAACGAACAGTAATAATGAAAACCATGTTCCAGAGGATCAATCCGAAATCAGAAAGGCTATTCAATTTCCCAAAAACTCACTAAAAAGAAACGCTGTTAGAAGTAACTTTGTCGATTTCTTCTTCACCTAAAGCGCACTGGTTTGGTAAAAGGCAATGCAGCTCAATCAAAGTAGGCCCTGAGCAAATCAGCAAAAAGACTGTTGTAAGACCCCTGAGAAAGCATGCCTCACGCAGAACGTGACCACTAGCAGCATGCTTATGCCAAGTGAAAGACGACATCCAGGATAGAGGCCATAAGAGAGGTCGGTTAGAATTATCATCAGATGATTCACTGTCGTTGTCGCTCTCTACATCGGTATTCTTCCCATCAGTTTCCTTCTCACCTAACATTTCAACAACATCTGGAAAATCGTCCGCATAAGAAATATCACGATCGTCTTCCCTGACAAAATCAGTAAATAGAGCTGGATCGTCACTCATCGACATCAGCTCTTCGACTCTTTCAGTCTCAAATTCGTCACCACTGTTGGAAAAACTGTTAACTTCCATTTTTGCATTTAATATAGTTCGGTTCAGGCGACTGAAAATCGTCCGGAGAGAAAGACGACGTTGAGATACCGGGAACTGCTTCATTCCTTTGACAACTCGGACTGGGACTTTTTGTTAAGCTACTTTCTTCTGGACAGCTCTCCTCTCTCTCGCTCATTAATTTAGCTTTCTTGTTCCATCTATATTTTGTAGTTCTCGGAACATTACGCGTGGAAGAATCGGACAAATATTGCAAATATGGACCTCTGATTTTCTCTTTGTTGTCCGCCATATTCGCTCAATACGATCGCTGACCTGAATAACCCCAGTGACATGAATGACCCACAATGCCCCTTCATCGGATGCGCACGCATCTCCAAGAAAGGTGCGCGAAATTCGTGTACCAAAGGTCAAGTGGGCCCAAGCTAATCATCATTCACCTACAGTGGAAGCTTCAGTGGAAGCAACAGTCCGTGTTTAAATAGTTATCGTTCCCTAACCATGTCAAAGAAAGGTAGTATCACCTCCAGAAGGTCAAACAAGGCTCCCAAACGATTGGAGGATCAAGGTTTGTGACCTTTTGTGTTAACTCTGAATTACTATTCTTTGTTAAAATCAGTGAATTAAGTTGTATATTTTGTTGATAGGATTTAATAAAATAATTTAATTTGATAAAAATAATTTAAAACAAGCTTCAAATAGATGAAAGAGGAGGCAACAAAATCACAAACAGATGTAGAATCTTTTGTTGCAAACTTGTGCTGTGATTGGTTGCTGCAACTGAAGTTTATTTTTACTGTTAATGGATATCTTTTTGATAGCTGGAGATGTTTTCACTGGCAGATGATAAAGAGGAAGTGATGAAAAGAAAAGTTGCCATGCAGAAATTGAAAAACCCCAAACAAATGAACAAAGTAAAATGAAAAAGATAGGAAAGAAAACAAAGGAAAACAGAAAGAATGTCAGTGAGGAGAAGGAGGGTGAAGAATCCACACAAAAAGAAATGGTGGATAGGGAAGAAATTGCAAGAAAGAAAGCAGAACGACAGAAGAAACGAGTAGAACAGCAAAAGGCTAAGGAAAACAAGGAAAGGGAAAAGGCTGAAAAAGAAAAGGAAAGAGCTGCTTTGATGGAAAGGGGTAACCGCATACTTGCAGAGATGAACTCTTTAGCAAGAAATCTGGATGTCGAAAGCAAGCAGCCATTTACCAATTTATCTGATGAAGAGGAGTATGATGTTGACAGGGCTGAACCCATGGATGATGATGAATATTTTGGTGGAAGAGATATTATATCTGAATGTTCATCTTACCTTCATCCCCCCCTCTCTCTTCCTCCCCATTCCAACTCTGCCAAACCAGCTTTACAAAGCCCAAGAGCAACAGTTGGTGGAAAAAGACCCAGGGATTTCTCCCAGAGTCAACCACAACTTCCTCCAAGACCAACTGTGGGTGGAAAAAAGCCAAGGTCCACATTCCACCACAGCTGCCAAAAATGTGAGGAGTACAAGGAAATTATAGCCGCACAAAATCAAGAAATTTCTCAACTCAAGGCTCAAGGTAATTATATATCACTTTTTACATGACTAGCACTCATATATTTAATGATAAGATAGAGAATGCAGGGCATTTTCCTGTCTGCTTTTCCTTTTGCTTCTCATTGGATTGACTAATTGTGAGGGGAAGATGGATACCAGTTGATCATAGTCTATCTTGTATAATTTTACAATAACTCTGAAAGTAGGGAATAAACCATTTTAAAGCACTTTAATAAGGCTACAACTCTTCCAAATTGTATTTTAATGATGCATCTTATTGTGTTTCAAATAGTGATGCTTGTATTAAGATATGAATATTATTTTGAAGGGAAGAGTATTTTTCCACATTTACATACTTATGAATTAAAATACTGGTGACAGTCAAGCAGATTGACCCACTGATTGATTGCTACATTTAATCTTCCCATGTTAGCTAGGTAATTAAAGCTATGATGTAATCTATTTACCTGTTGTAGTGAATGGTTGTTATGAAGAGCTCCCCAGACCTGGGAAAGTCCCTGAGATTGTGGCAGCACGCTTCAAGGTAAATGCTTTAAGGCTTAATACCCAGCAATTAGACTGTAAAGCTTAAGTTATCGAATTTATATATTTTTTATTATTTGAGCCTAAGAGGCATATCTGACCATCAAATGGAACGCAGACTGAGTTTGTTTAGAGCTTTAAATAATTTCTTACATGGTTATTGTAGGAGGGACTACCTGAAAACTTCTGTGCAGGGAATCAGTTGAAAGTGCTTTAACTGCCTTAGTGGTCATGCACTTTCAAAATTCAAATGTTCACCATAGCCTTCCTTCAATTTAACATTAAAAACATGACATGATTGTTAT